CGAATTAATTTGTTTACTTATTAATTAAATGCAACAACCAAGAAAGCTCAAAAAGAGGAAAGCTTGAGGAGCCGTGACTCTGACCTCCTAACCCCTACCTTGTTTACTATTTGGCAAGCGATCGTTCAAGGTTTCATAATAAAAAAAAATGCCAAAATACTGTTCCTTCCATTATCAATTAGCTTTTACTTGCGACTTCGCCCAGGTGAAATTATTTGCAGTTACTTATGATAAATGCAATTGTTATGACTAACAAGCCATTAAAAAAAAAATAACCTAGATAATTCCTGACATTATCCTAATAATGATAATAGTCTTACTGAAATCGGTTCAATCGTCTCAAAGATGTACCCGTACCTACAGGCAGAAAACAGTTAGACAGACAAACAAAAACAAAGTGATGCTGTCGTTTGTGTCTCAATAACATACAAATACGAAATGAACTTTTAAAAATGCAGTTTTTCGGTATCACAGACAAACGTTCCAATTTCATTTATATTTTAAATTACACCTATGAAATATATTTTTGTTATCATCTACATCATTTATAAAAAAGCATTGTAGCTACTCTAATGTACCATTCCTTAGACTAAAACCCGGAAGATTTACGGGTTAATTTTTAAAGTATATAAAATATACGACAAATTATGTGGCTGAAGAAATATCGTTGGAAATTCCATGAAACACAACTAGCTCATAAGAAGTAAATAGAAGTGTTAATTAATTAAAGGTTAACGGAAGGTAAGTCCGAAATATTTCATTCTCCTGCTAGCACTGTAAAGGTCAGATGAAAAATGGGAAGAATGTGATGCATCATTTGATGACTTATCAAGTTTCAGTTCTGCATTTTGAATTTTTTATCTTAAACGTGTTGTGTACGTAAAACGAACATTAAAATACTTAACAATAAAATATCAACGTATTAATTTTCCACTGTTTAGTTTTAAAAAAACCTTTACAATTATTTTACCCTACAGTCGGAAAATATCACTTTATGTACCTAAGGAAATTTGTGTCCTCTCTTCTAAATGGGCCAAAATATCGCAAAGATAATTGAGGACCAAAAATAGAAAGAAATAAAGAAATGTATATAGTCATCATATAGTACTGTGGTTCCTAGTCAGATTGTATTATTTGGTTAATATTCGCGAGCCAGGCAAAAATTCAAATCATTAATTTGGAAAACCCAAAGTTGTTTGCCTTTAAAACGTCAACTGTCACGGGCACGTGTCAATATTAAAATTAACAGCTGTATTTTGGCAGGATTATTTTTGTATATATTTCTAAAGTTCTGGGGGCAGCAGCAACGTGAAATTCAAAAATGAAGACCACTCTTGATGTTTTCCTAAAATTGATGTAATATGGTACCTACTAAATGTAACACGAAATATCAGAGTTGTCTGAAATGACATCACAAGGAATTTTAACTATTTTAAATTAAATACTTTTATGCTAACATAAATTATAAGGATATGAGTGACTAACGTAAATAACATAGTTGTTTATAATTACGTAAGCGTTGTATATATTTTTATTAAAATCACTAATTTTTGTGACTTTTGCTGAAAATGCGGAAGAACAAAATGTATTTAAGCATACCATTAAAATACAATAGGACACGTTAATAACAAAACCCTAATAAATATGTCAAAATAATTTAAAAACGTCTATTAATTTTAAACATAAAATAAATTCACAAGGTAACTTCGAATTCGAATTCTAAAGTCTATGTCTAACACTAAGTAACAATAATATAATAATCAGTCCCTTAGGATGTTTCTCTTAAAGTCCTGTAATGAAATGAAACATATGTACGTATTTTACGTAGTATACAAAATCAGTTATGACTTATTTTTGGATTGACTCGTACAGCCTATATGGATGATAGGAAGCAATTTTTCGATAATTTTACAGAGAGTTATAGTTATAGAGTTCTATTTGTGTATTAATGTCGAAAAAGAAGATAAAATTCATTCCATCATTTATTAAATAATTATGTATACCTATTGTATTTATTGTTTCCGCTTTGTCTTTTTAATTCATATTACTGATACTAAGTAGGAGTAGATTCGAATATTTTATCGGAATAACAATAAATAAGTAAACAACTACATTACATAGTAGGTAAATTGGATATTTCGTATTTTTTATTATTTATTTTCTATAACTTCAGTATCAGCTTTAGTTGTTGGAAAAAAATTAGATTAAAAAATAATCGAAATGAAAAACGTACTTAATCAGTGGTATAACATGAAGCCTTTTACAGGGTGTTTTCACAATTCAAGAACTGATAAGGCAAATAACTTAGAATGAAAAATAGCTGTTCAAAAATGGCTATTTAAAAATTTATGTCTCTTGGTCAAAGATTTATACAATTAGTGTGTAATAGTATAACTTTAAGTCGATATCTCATTTCATTTAAATGAGCCTTCAACACGAGGACAAAAAGGGACCGATAGCGTAATCATAATAGCAAAAAGGTTCTCATGACATCTTCTTCAAGATTGCTCTTTCTATGAGTTTTTCAATGCCTTTATTTATTTATTCATTAGTCGTTTAACCACTTAAGGTATCATGAAAATTTAGAAGAGGCCTTATTTTCAATTTCTGAAAAGTGTGCCCATACAATTATTTATGCTCACCCTGTATAGTTAGATCCACATTGTAATATTAAATGACCTTCCGACAAAGTTTCTTATTAGACATTCAAAAAATTTAATCGTTAGCATTTTTAATATTTAACGGTCGGTTTGTTTAATGCAATTCTTAATGCATGTAAAAAAAGTGCAATAGGTAATAAAATGCGATTCTCGAAACTATAATAGATTTGTTGCACATCAGGACCATCTATATATATTGTATGATGATGATGACGATGACGATTCTGGAAAGACTGATGTAAATCATTATGTTCACGTACGCCAGACGCAAACACTAAACAGATTCTTAAAAGTATTAATAGATAAGGATGTTATAGACCTTTAAGATTAGCAGAGAAATGTAACCATGAAAACATAAACTATAATAATGCCAAATTATTGATTTTTAGAAAAACGTATTTCGACGGATGTTTTGCAATTTTGAATATTACCAAACAAGTAATCGTATAATCGGCAGCAAATCTAATATAATGAGTCAGTTTAGGACGTCAAGGATGATGGTCTGAATATTCAATTAATTATTTATTTCCAACTGCGTTTTAACATGAACTTTAGCTAAAATCAAACGACTGTTTATACAAATGCAAGATGAAAACTAGAATAAACATTTGTCAACTGTATCTTCTTTTGCTTTTGCAACAAACGCTCATCGGGTGATAAGATAAAGCCTCTTGAGTGAACTCATCACAGTTACACATGCATAGCTTAAATGTTATATCGTATGTACTTTTATGAAACACTTAATCACCAAGACTAGAGAAAAATATATTTAGCAAATGTAGTTTTTCTTGCAAAAAAACAAAATCATTTTTAAAGTTGCTTATACAGTTGAAGGATGTTGTGGCAAAAATTTGTACTACAATAATGAATTTGTTCAATACTACACGCCATCTATTATTATGCAGAAAAAATAGTTTGTTTAAATAAATCGCATTCTTTGCAACGCTAAACGTCTGCTGTCTTAATAATTTAATATGGCAATAGGTAGAACTATTTATCAATAAAAACAATAGTTTTCGTTAGTTTTGTCACGGTTTCTGTAATGCGCGAATTGTTTAAAACTTTTTACATTTTTACGTTTTACGCTAGTAACAATTACAATTGGAAACTCAGAGTAGCAGTTTTAACCCTTATATTTACCATGTTAAACATTATTACTACTTTCAATGACTGAAATTAAAAGAAGTCAACAAACCAGAAATTTTTATTTACTTGGGAGAATAGAGAAACAGAGGACTCTATGGAAATCAATAAAAAAAATAGGCGAGATAGGTTGGTAGAACACCTTCTCAGGCATGAAGGTCTAGGTAGAGACATATTAGAGACAGAAACAGAAGTTAAGAGAAATAAAGGTAGACCTAGATTAAAGTACGGTCCACAAATAGTTAAGGACGTGGGTTGTTCTAGTTGTCAGGAAATGCGAAGATTAGATCAGGATAGGAAGGAGTGGAGGTGCGTGTCCAACCAGTCTTAGGATTGACGACCTTATGATGATGATGATGATGATGATAATTTTTTATTCATTTTCCCTTTTAATGTGACATTTCATGTTATTTCTAACGTTAGCCTTTTCTTATTTGACTGGTAGATAACGCAATACTGTTTCAGTCATCCCTACATACATACTAATTATAATAAACAAAAACAAAAATGGATTTTGTTGATAATATCTGTAGCTTCCCAGAGTTCAATTAAAAGGTTTCAAAATGTGTTAATTTTGAAATATAATTGAAACTATCCACAATTGATTTTGTAAAAAAAAGTTGCTGGTGCTGGCGGATGAGTAGTTCCTCGGGTCTACGTCAAAGGATTGGGCAAAGTGCTCTTTTCAGTCTTGTTGTGTGGTGGGTAAGATTAAATTACACCGTTGATGCTACCGATTTATTCTGTAATGCAAAGTGGTTGGTATGGCGGAAGGTCTTGTTTAGGAATCGAAAGAGTGAAATCGTAGTGTTAGAGGAAGAAGAAAGAGTAGACAGACTAAATGAAAATAATAGAACATGAATACAGCATATGTGCAATAATTACTGCTTTATTTTATTTGCCTAAACAATCCAAGTTCAAGGAAACCACAGAAGATGTTGCACCAAGGGAGACGGATCCAGCCGGAATTGATCCAGTGTTCCCACAAATACGAACGATAAGATATGATCTAACCACTCAGTTTATCTTGCGGTAGAAGCACAGTAGAAGTTTGACCCAACGTCTCGTAGTATACAGATATAGGATTTAGTAGAATAGCCTAAACAGGCCAGTGTATACCAAATATTAAAAAAAAAATATTTTATTAATTTGTTCGTTTTACACAAGATAAAGGTGAAGAAAAGAATGAGACAAAACTGAAATGAAATAGTTTATAGGTGTAACTATTGTACTTTACTTGCAACGAATAAAGTTCGTACATTATTTACATGAAACACATTTACATATCATTTGTATAACAAGGAAAGTAATCGTTTACGGCCTTCCTGGCTGTTGTTGGGGTACTTCTTGCTGGTTAAATTCCAAAGATCGGGCAATAGCCTCAGGAATTGGGGGTGGTGTTGGAAGATGAGCACCGGCAGGTTGGAAACCGTTCTCGTCGGCAACATAAGACACGGAATACACCACACCGTCGGGACCGGTGTACCTAAAATCTCCGACAGCTTTCAAAGCTTCGCCCTCTGTACCTTGATTTTGGAGGTGACCTTCTTCTTCAGCGAAGATACCATTATCGGTTTCATATCTAATCAAGTATTTTCGATAATTAAATTATTATTTCTAAAACAATGTTCGTATAAATTATAATTGCAATAAAACAACGATTAGAGATAAAGTGGTTTGAAGGCCTTGACAGAAATAGAAATTTCGTTCATCTTGACCGAGCTTATTCAGTCGAAAATGTCAGAAATAGTGGCTAATCGCTATTTTCCAGTAAAATTTGCATAAATCATCATCAATACGAAACAGTTAACAGTTTTGGCAAAAGGTCTTCCCATAAATATTGGTAGTTGCGTAAAAGTTTTGACACTCATCTGACCCGTTTCAAGCAAGACCATTATTTTTGATAATTTACATATTTCCATTAAAGGCATCGAAAAATGTCAAATGCACAATGTTCTGAATTAAACATCGTTCTATATGCTAATGAATCGTCTTCACATTAGCTAGTTGGTTAGACAAAGAGAAAGAGAGACTCTCATTAAATCATCAGAAGCACTATTCGATCATGTTTTAACTAACGATTTGTAATATGATTATTTTTCTGTATATACAGAAGCCTGTCCTGACTGACTGGCTAACTGATGATCACCGCGCAAACGAAACCATTGGATCGATTTGAATGAAACTTTGAGAGCATTTTCTGGCTATTACATGAAGGGCACACTAAGAACGGATTTTGCGATAATCTCATTTTAAAGGGTTGAAACAGAGCATAACATTTCGTAAAAATTCGAAAGATATACACATTCAATTTCATTTTTCATCAAAATCATAATTCTTCAGTTAAATGTTTATCATATACACTGCGAGGATGCCGCAAGGGCTAACCATTAGTTGTTTCTATTATTACATAAATCATAATCGAATATACGATTTTTGAAGATACCCTAGTAGTACGGCAAAATAAATGTACATTGTATTTCGTTGCCTAATAAAGCGAAGCAACATACTCCCCCATGAAGCATAACAAAATTGTAAAACTCTCCGACGTGTTGTTACTATTGCAGATAATTTGTAAAATAAGTTCAACTTACAGATATCTGTATCCATCAATGTTGACTTCCGATTCACTTCTAAGGGTTTTAGCTTGGGCCTCAGGACCTGCACCTACCACAGGGGCGTAAGAAGGTTGTGCGGGCTGTTGGTAGGATGACTGTTGTGATGGATAAGATGGCTGAGGATCTGTTTGAATAAATGAGAATATCTATTGACGGATTCAACGAAACAAATCGGCCTATCGTACTTTTTTGTCGATAAGAATTTTTGGATCTTTTTATATGTAATACGTACAACGGAAGAATGCATTGCCTGAAGGGGCGGATGATACGGGGACTTTTCTTTGATACTGCTGAGGTTGGGGTTGACCTCTGTATTGTCCACTACCGTCACTACCATAGCCACCACTAGCATCTGGTACGTATTTGCCTTCATCAGATGGGTGGTATGACCCATCGTCACCCCCTGCTGGAGGTGGAGCAGCGCAACCAAGTGCGACAAGGGTGAAGACGAAAACAATCTGCCCATTGAGGAATAAAGAAAAATTTAAAAAGATGTACGTAGCAGGGACAACATCAGCAACCAGCAAATTACAATAAAATATGAGAAAATGTTACATTCTATTTCCAGATAATATAATAAGTAATTATTTGCAATTATTGTTGTTAATATTCGAATTTTCCATCATCTAAAAATATTTTACTTTTTAATATTCAATTGCTTATACTTACGGTATATTTCATTTTTGTGTGCCACTAAAGAACTTCGCGATCTACACAATAAACACCAGTTAGTTTCGCTTTTTATATAGGAATCGATCTTATGTAAAAAGCAGAATTTGGTCATTAAGTTCTATTCTCCTCCTTTAGAAGTTTATTCGAATGATGTATAATGAAGCAACCAGTGGTTCACAAAAGTTGATCTATCAAATAGGTATTACATGATCTCATATATGCGGAGGTGTAAATTTATTTGAAATTTTCGAGTTCTGTTTGAAAAATCCATATAGGTACAAATGGATTCTCTATTTTAAATGCTTTTCTCTAAACATTAATTTCCATCTGCATTTAGACAGTTTTTAAACTTATTTTCCAGTATGAATTGTATAAATAAATTGACATCAATATCATGATTGGATAATATGTAAAAATAGCCTTTGCCTAATTAATATAATATTTGTTTTTATTTACTACAATAAACAACAAAACAAAATAAGAACGAGCTCTTTGAATCTATTTAGAAGATAGCTATTTTGCATTTTGTATGCATATTTTATTTCAAGTATTTTAACAACAATTATTCACATCTTTGGTAAATAAGAAGGCCTATCGTGGGTGAATAGAAGTCACAATTTTTGGAACTGCTGATTAAAATGTGAAGAAGATTTAACATAAAAAGAAATACAGAAATATATCATATCGAAGGTTTTCCACCTCCCAGTTGCGTACAGTTTAAAGTTATCCTCTGCACTTTGTCAAATTAGAATCGTTAATGTGTCCGGTTTTGTTAAAGTTTACCTGTGAAATTTCATAGAAAAAGCAGTTTACCAAACACCTGCAAAAATACAAAACTTTAACGACTTGTTCCATTTGAAATGAAAATAGCGCGGCCATTAATAATTTTCACTGGCATTGGCCACACAAACAATTATTATTAAGACATTTTAATTTAATATAGGCACCGTTTTGCAAAAAAAAAAACAAGCAAAACTAAATTATAGAGAACAACATTTATTTTATGTAATATTAGTTGCATGATTTTATTATTATTTCATCCAAAAAACCCAAACCAAATTCAATGAAAATCATCTTTCTACAAATGTAATAATACATGCGGTTTGAAACCATGTTAGATTATTTTTTCTTTCTTTGTTCATTCACATTCAAAAGAGTTTTATTTTTACATATTTAAAGTGTTGTATTTATTATTTCATTGTTATATTCACTTATTACAACATTTACAATGTTCTGCTCTTTTTGTTCAATTCTGTATACCAAAACTAATGTTAATTTATGCATTCATACTATTGTGCAGTTCTGCGTATTTACGTTTAGAATAAGATGTAAATATTATGCAGAAAGCTTACAAAATGGAAACAGTTGGATTCTGAAAATTTTGTCCTTAACATTTAAAAAAAGAGGTTCATCGTTTGAAGGAATTATTAAGTTTCGCAATTAAAACAAAATCATAAAACTTAGACATATCCTTATCAGTTGTAACCGGTTGAATATTGTTAAACTTTTCAGTTATTTTTTTATCCAATTTATAATAAAAGCTCACATATGATACATAATGCATTATGTACATTGTAAATGCAGAGTTATATGTAAAATGTGCAAGTATTATGTAACAAAAATGATTCATAGAAGAAAATGGCAACAAGTTAAGTCAGTTGTAGGCAGATGTTTTTGAAAGTTTTAACATTTTCTGCAATAAAATTTTCGCATGTCTATTAGATATACCACCAACAGTTTAATTCGATTTCACTTGAATTATGTCTAATACTCAACTATAAAATCCTCTGATTTTATTAACTTAAGATAAATAATCAATCGGCATCACATTTAGTAGTCAACGTTTCATAATCTATCAACTAATGTGCTACTTTATTAAACTTAATTATTATTTTTATAGTTAACCAAATGTATGCCTTTTTCATCAAAATTTTGTGTCACATTGAAAAGTTTCGTTATGGTAGTCCTTGTAAGAATGTATCAAGAAAATTTGTTTATTTAAAATATCTCAAACTATTCCCCTAATTACCATGAAACTTTACATACGTTTTTAAATATAAATGTCTTGATATTTTCAAAGTTTCCAACCTCCTTGATATGAAGATGCGCGTTTTCCAAATCTAGCACCAATAAATAATCAAATTTAAACAAAAATAATCGTAAATTCACCTAAGTAGTAGCATATCGAAGGTTTGGATGGGCTCGATTGTTTCAGCATTTGGTTGGATTAAGCGATTACACTTATTTACGATTATTCTGTCTCCTTGGAACATCTAGTAAAATATGTTACTCTAATATCCGAAGCGTAACCTCTAAACTGTTTTCTTAATTTTAGATTTAAACATTTAAATACTTCATCTGTCCATCTATATACTGAATGTTGTTTGCACAATATCAAAACGTAATAATTGGAAAACTTCTCATGATAACTCGAATATACCGAATCGAATTTAAGCAACAGAAATTTTTACTGCCATAGATCAGCAACAAATAATTTCCTTACTTAATATGATGTGTATCTCAATAAGCAACAGTTTTTATTATTATTTTATATTGTATATGCACATTACAGCTGGCACGACTACTTATTATTAAATTAACGAATCATAGAAAAGCGGTACACACATGTGTCGTAATAAAAAATTTAAATAATTTAATGTGTGACATTCGATAGTCTATTTCAACCTCTCCGTTGCTCTTCCGGTTCAGGATGAGCAGCTATCCATTCCAAAGCCCGTAAGATAGCTGGAGGAGTCGGTGGTGGTATGGGTAAGTGATTACCCTGTGGCTGAAAACCGCCCTCGTTGGAAATATACTGAAGGTTAATCGGGGTACCATCAGGCGCTGTATATTGAAAAGATCCTTGAGCTTCTTGGATCGGTTCCGGTGATCCAGGTTTTTGATAGCCCTGTTCTTGAGCAGCTATGCCATTTTCAGTTTCAAAACTGCAAGATTAACTTTACTATTTCTCTAATATCTAATATGATCGAAATCGCAATCAACATTTGATATTTTCAATTGCCTTTGCCCTTTTGAAAATGGAATTATAACAAGTCAAATCGCCATCAATTTTTGTTACTAACGTTTAATCTTTTTTTAGAATATTCTAATTGCAATTTAATTTTATGATATAAAGCACACCTGAATTGATAAGATCCATCCGGGTTAATATCTTGAGTCTGCTTAAGTATAGCTATTACTGGACCACCTCCACCAGAAGGTCTTACAGGTGCTGGTATAGGCCGATAACGTCCTACTTGACCATATACACACGCCACAGCCATTACCATCACACACACGAGCTATAGGGAAATTTTTGGAACATTTGAGGCAAATTTATGATGATAAACTGAAGAGCAGGTCTTAGTAACTTAATATATAGCTATATGATGATTTTAACCCCAACCCCAAGTAAGTGGGTCTTTTCAAAAATGAAGATGACTATCTAGATTAGGTCATTTTTGATATTTGCTTTAACAAAAGTTGTTATGTGAATGAATACGAAACATTTTTAAAATTTAAATTATAAAATTTGGTTAAACGTTTCATTTTACTTCAACTGTATTGCAACCCGTTATAAATTAGAGCTAGAAAAATTGTATGCACTAGAATAACTGCCCTATGAATTTCTCGATTGTAACCCAAAGATGACATTTAGAATTTCCATATTTACATATTATAAGAATAATATATAGTATAACTGACTTTCACATACTGTAACAAGACATTTAACTAGAGAACTGACCACTTACCAAAGTGTACATGATGATGCAAATAGCAATCACTTTGTACTATAAGTATCTAAGCGCAAAATTCTTATTTATATATAGTTTCTTGTCTGGGTTGGGATAGTCAGTCCTATAAGGAGGTTCATCCTCGCTATTAATTTCCCTTGCGCTGGACGGTATGAAGAAATGTCACTTGTAAATAAAAATTATCTCTTACGGGTTACACTACGTCTATGATAATATAGAGACGGTGTATTTGATATACATGTAAATATCTACTTATACCTGCATGTATGCTGATACTTATCATTTAGATATTAAAAAGTAATAGTTATTATTGTGAAACATAAAAGGTTTTATTTAGAAAGGATTCTAATGTAACGATGATACGTGTAAAAGTAAAACAATTTTTTATTCATATTTGACAAATTTTCTATCACAATACAAAGTTTTGGAGTTACTTTTGGTCTAGGTTTGTCACAAAAATGTAAAATTCAATTGTAGCGATTATAAAATACATTTTTTTAACTCAACTCTCACTTTTACTAATAGGCTACTGAAACAGAGAGTTAGTTTATTGCAATAATTTTACCTAAAACAAGTGTATAAATTGTAAATTGTTGTTACATCAAGTAAGAGTGAAAGAGCATCAGCAAATGTCATGTTATAACAAGGAATAAACATTTAATTGGTTTACATTACCAATATTGTATTGAATCATGTATATTCCGCTACTCGAAGGAATTTCAAGGATGAACGAAAACATAGTTCCACCCAGATCGTCCTGAACATCTAGAAATCTCGCTCATGCATATAATAACAATGCATGTACTCGCTGATCAGAGATGTGATTCATTTGAAATATAGTAGAGTAGAATACAGAAATAGTATTAACCGCAATAAACAATAGCTGTTAACGTTATTGAAATATTCTCCTCAACGAAAGTTATATTTTAAAATGTATAAAACACTAATACATGCTCACTGAATGATATCAGCAAATACTTAAAACAGTAATGAAGGTGGGTTTTTTCTTTGCAAAGTGGACTTTTCTTTTAATCTTTTGATAACCATCAGGGTGTCCAGATTTGAGGAAATACTAAATATATTACTTTGCGGTGTGTATTTCGAACGCATTCTTCCGTAACTTATTAGTATTTGAAATAGGAAATAGTTTCATAAAGTGCATCTTCTATTTCAAATATACTGTAGCAAGCTTAACCTTCGTGGATAAGTTCACCGTTATTTCTCTGGTTCTGACCTATTCTACATGTGTATCTTTATAGATTCACACGTACATATATATATATATATACCATCTGAAATCGTGTTGGAGTCTTTATCGAGTTTCTGTATTCAATTAAGTAAATTGTTGTACACAAATTTCTCAGTTTTTCTCTATGCTTTAACAAGAACAGAGCGCTTCACAGACATTTTTCTTGTTGATTTTCACATAATTAATTATCATCTAGATGAAATATCCAATTAATAAAAAAATAGCAAAACAATATCTTCAAAAAGAAATTAAGATATACAAAAAAAGAAGAAATAAATGAACACAAAGACAAACATAAGAACGTCCGACGCCGTCGGTACTTTGACAAGGTTGCGAATAAGAGAGAAGAAATAAAATAGCTGTTATCTCACAAAAATTAATTATTAATGAAACAGAAGCAATTTGCATTAATTTCTTCTTCAGTTTAAACAATAAGGAACGATGAAACTGACCTTGTATCTATAAATTATTTCACAAAATATTTTCAAAGTTGCACCAGACTAATCGTAACTAACGGGCAAAAAAAGATCATCATCGACCACACTATCAGTTTTTAAGGTCGCATGTCGATATGTCTAGATCTGTGTAAATTTTAAACGCTCGATAAATTAATCTTTCTTCTGGTTTTTTTGTTAAAAATCGAAATGGCCGAAATGAAAATCAGGAATGTCACTTTACAGGTGTGGCCCAAAATTTACTTATTAAAAAAACGTCTTTTTTATAACGGAATAAAAGAAAATATTTTCAAATATATTTTTTTATGACCTTAAGATAGTAGAAAAGCTACACTACATGTATGTAATATGCATGTAATATGCTATACATATGTATGTATAACATTTAACAAAACGCGACCTTTTAAATCTAGTGTTTTTTCGTTCAAATCCTAATAGCACTCTTTAATATCAACTATTACGAAAATACTGTTTTGGGAGGCATATAAATAGAAGTCACTTCTCCAAATATATTCACACAGTGAGAAGAATCATTTCGGTGAAATTCGACTAAAAATTGTAAATATGAAATTTACGGTAAGCCATTATCTATTATATACACACACACATACACACTTAACAACAAAACAGGTACATAATAATTAACATCTCTCTCTCTCATCTTCAGTTCACCTACTAATTTTAATTTGACACGCTTTATCCTATAATAATTGCATAAGCAACTTTTTAAATGGCATTTGTATTATATATAGTAACATTATGAGCGATTGCGTGTGAACCAATTAATCAACGACACACGGAACGTATTAGTGCACCATACAAAGTTCGTTATGACTCCCGTTCATCCTACTTGAGTATGTCGCTTAAAATGATTCTTGGACTGTTTCCGTTACATTTTCCGTTAGTTCGTACAGATTATGTCAATGACTCAATAATTTTAATCAATTTAAAATGATACTGATACAATTTTTACTGTACAGCCTTTTCCAAATACAATTTCAGGCACTCCTATTCTCGGCTTTAATAGCTGCAGTTGCATCCCAAACCAACGAACGAGACGCCCCAATAATCAGCCAAAAATCAGACATCAATCCTGACGGTTCGTATTCGGTAGCGTACGAAACAGGAAACGGGATTACTGCTGGCGAAAATGGCATCCTGAAAAGTTTAGGGCCCGAGGGTCCTGGCGTCATAGAAGCTCAAGGATATTACCAGTACACTGCTCCCGAGGGCCAACCTATTAGCCTTCAGTACACCGCCGACGAAAACGGCTACCATCCTCAAGGAGAACATCTTCCCACTCCCCCACCAGTTCCAGAAGCTATTCAAAAAGCTGTCCAATACATTTTAGCCAACGAACCACAAGAATTGCCTGGTGCTGCACGAAGGGGTTAACTACTTCATTTACTGCCTTGATGATTGATATTTAATTGTCGCATTATAGATTAGTGGATATTATTTTTTTACTAATTGTATTGTAAATACACATTTTTACAAGAAAAAATAGTATTTGTGTAATTGCTCAACATAGAAGACAAACGACTTAATCTTGCCAGCGCAGTTTAACAAATGGGCCTGAGGTTTTGTGGACGAATTCAATATCGTGGAGCTAGGGAACGGAGATTAACTCGCCACGAGTTAAGCGAAAATTAAAATAAATGACATTTCGAAATCGAAGAATTGAATAGAATAATTCAAGAACTATATGCAAGTGCAACTACTCAGAATAAATACCAAACAATCTTTTCCAACCAGACTTTGTACTTTTTTACAATTCTGGGGCGTCTACGCTGGTCCAAGTTTTTTGTGGTTTCCTTGGGTCATTTTTCATTTCGTCTATTTCATATTTCTTACCTCAATCACAATCAACATACCCACTCCCACAATTCCTGAAAGAAGGCTTAAGAGGGCCTTCCTCCGTACTCTCCTAGAATTAGTAGGTGGTGGGAGTTAAACACCAAAATGTTCTTTAGTTATACTTTCTTTTGGCATACTGCGGACATTCAATTTTTTATCGTGACGAGCTGTATAACACGATAGTGCCTTAATTTGCAACAAACCATATAAATATTAGTTTTGCGAGGAGAACACATGGTCAGTGCAGTGTAAAAGTATCAAATTATTTATGCATATATTGACCTTTCAACCTGTTCAACGTTCATGTAATCATCTTAAAAGATTTCAAAATATTCCAAACGTTTTCCAAGGGAAACTGTATACATACCAACCGAATAACGGAGTTTTTTCGAAAATTTTATTAATTGTTAAAGCGACAGATGTTTTATGATAAACAATTTGTTTATAAACATTAAAACAGTTCCCCTTTTTCAACGTGAATTTAATAACTGACAGGATTTTTACACAAAGTGTTTCTTAATAGTAGGTATGTTTTTAAAGTACCCCCTGAAGTAATAGGTACTGTTAAGACAGCAGGTAAAAGTTGATCTGTGTTCTGTCGGAGCTGCCTGCGACGCGCTGATGTGATCCAAAAAGATCGAAATCGCGATCCGCGTCTGGCAGTTTCGACAGAATACAGACCACTTCGAATTATTTTATTCGATTAAGCTAACGTGACTATCACGTTGAGGTTAGCTACGCCGGGGTTCGCTTCAGTAAGTAGATATCCACACAAGTGGACATTGTTGGAGCATACGTAATCCTAAAATGTAGCATCGTGCTACAGATGGCGTTTACTGCTCCATTTGTAGTATTTTCTAAAATAGGTACTGTATTAACAATATTTGTGTTCATGAAAAAAAGGTTTTCTTCAACAAGAGATAAACTCCAAGTACTGATTCGTTCACTTTTTTTATTGTTAAAATCACTCATTAATAATTCACAGTCTTATTTTATAAAAATAATTTCAAAAATATTTAATAAAAACGAAAAAATTATCGAGGCTTTTGGGGTTCTTCTTGCGGAAGAGTTGGTAAAAGTTCTAACGATTTTTTAATAACTTCCGGAATGGGCGGGGGTGTTGGTAAATGATCTCCAACGGGACGATATCCATTTTCGTCAGCAGTATACTGCAATCTTATGACCTGTCCTTCAGGTGATACGTATTGAGTTTGTCCTTGGGCTGCTAACGTTAAAACGTCACCTACTTGTTTAGGATATCCTTGTTCGTCCGCGTAAATACCATTGCCAGTTTCAAGGATGTAATTAAATGACCCATCGGGGTTTATCTCGTTAACTTGCCTTATTATCGGGATAGGGGTTGTGCTAGGTTGCTGGGCTAAAGATGCTGTTACTAGCACAACAACAAAAATCTATAAAACATAATATTTAAAGTCATTTTCCCTTTCAAACTATTTGAGGAATAATTCCAAAACCTCTTGCAACCTAACAGATAATTATTGTAAGCGATAAATAATAATAATGTTAAGGAAAGTGACGAAAATAAAATCTAACTGGTGTTAAGTGATCCTAACTGTTAAATAAAAAGTGTCAAAGTAGCTTGCTTACCACAAATCTCATGTTGAAGGCAGACGAAAGAAAAAATAAAAAATAAAGATCAAGACGGTTGTTGCATCTGTGATTGAAAACAGTGGCCCAGCTTTTATATACACCGTCCATCGTCCCAAAATGTTTCCTAAGATACTACCTATTACGCAATTCCCAAACATATTGAATAACTTAAAGGTAACAAATCATTATCACAGCAGAAATTTTCAAGAAAACAGAAACATATACCTACACACATTATTATAATAATATTATAGCTCAATAACATTTAATATTATTAAAAATAAATATTAATATGTTTATATATTCGTAATAAAATAAAACGACTCGTCCTATAACTGGAGAAGTTAATAACAAAAAATGTTGCCTACAATTTTCGAAAAAAAATTTTCAGTGCAGCGATTACAATCCTATTCCATCATCCGAGCGTATTTTTCTACGAGTATTTTGTATCTTTTTAACTTATTTTATAGAAAAGTTTTCTAGAACGTCCAACAAAGCCTATTACAAAATTTTTCATTAATTATGCATGTAAACGAAAGAAATTCATTTCGCCTTGAAACACAACAAAATATTATATACAAAAAACCTACATCATCAACTTGAGAAAACCGATAGCTGCATTAATGCGAGGATTATCTTCTCCTTATAATGGTGACTGCAACCTTTCTATCGTGTGTGCTTAAAACTGATCATGAGAGTTTTAATTAAACTTCTAGATAAGACTATTCGACTCGTTACAAAACATAAATTTCTTCACGAAACTGATTGGATACATATATTTTGAGATAAAACAAAAAGAACTTTTGCATAATTAGAGAAAGTTCATATAAAAAAGGTAGGAAAGATAGACCAGACGACTCATTCGTGCGTGTCCAAACGAGAGGTCTTTATCTTTATTAAGTCTTCAATCCTAGGAATGTGAAACTGGAGCAGATTACACCCCTAACTCTTTGTTAATAGTAATTAAATATAGATCTACCTTTGCCCTCTCAATTCCTGCTCCTGCTGATGTCCTACCAACATTAATCCTTATTGATTTCCGTAACTCCTTCCGTTCTCCTAATCATTCTGAAACCTCATTTCTAACCATTTTCTACAAATAATCGATTGAGAAAGATATAAGATAAGACACTGTCATCATCATATGGTCGTTAGTCCTAAAACTGATTAGACACGCACCTCCACCCCTTCCTATCCAAGGCTAATCTAAAGTAGAACAACCCATATCCTTGACTATTTGCGAACAATTTTCCACGAAGCTGTAGTATTTTGATTTTATTAGGTGCATGCCAAAGAAAAAGTAAATTTATTTGCAATTATTACTTTTATTCGACAGATGACAAAATACATTTATATATATATATGGAAACAGTTGGATTCTGAAAATTTTGTCCTTAACATTTAAAAAAAGAGGTTCATCGTTTGAAGGAATNTATATCTATTATGGTAATTAAATAAATAAGATGATACAATATCATTACATGCACATTATTTAAGGACGCAAATCACAAAAGTAAAATAAGAACTAACGTGAAAACGATGCGTATACAAAAATTACTTATTATGTTATGTAAAATAAATAAATTGCCTTGTTTCAATATTCATTTGAAAAACCCCTGTTGTGTAGTATTTTTTGTGACTAGAATTGAGAAAAAGAACGACGAGCCAATTAAATTTTAAACAAACAAACGGTTGAGACTTTTGATATGCACAATAATATGACGATTTATTTTTTTTTATTGTTTATTTATTGTTGTTGCTCTTTTGCATCTTCCTGTTGCGGATTGGCAGCATTGTATTCTAACGACCTTTGAATGGCCTCAGGTATGGGAGGAGGTGTGGGAAGATGGGCACCTTGTGGTTGAAAACCGTTTTCATCGGCAATGTACGTCACTAAAATTTCTTGTCCATCAGGAGCGGTATACTTATATTGACCTTGTGCCACCTGCGCCTCTTGCTCTTCTTGGCCAGCATTTTTTAAAAATCCTTGCTCTTCAGCACTTATGCCATTCCCCGTTTCATAACTAAGAATTTTAAGAAAATCAGAAACCAGACAATATTTCTTATAACTAAAGCAATAAAAATACCATAAATTCTTTATCAAACAAAACTTTTGGGACGGAAGACCCTTGTCCTCTCGAATGCTAAGCAATGGTCTAAACCCCTAGACCATGCCGCACATAAGTTGAACGAATTTCGTGACATAGTCAGAATACCACCTGATGTAAAGCTACTAATTACAACATACACATTTTTAATTTTTGGTTGTTTCATTCCCACCAGCCACTAACGCTGATGGGCGGGCAGTCCCTCCGGAAGGTAGGGCGGAAGGCCCTCTTCAGCTTCCTTTCAGGAATCGTGGGAATGGGTAGGTAGTGGCTCGGGTGAGAAAGATAAGACGAACGAAATGAAGACAGAAGAGAACGAAAGATTATTTGTGGAATATTACTGCCCCAGCATTTGCCTAAGTGATCCAAGGAAACCACAGAAAAACTTGGATCAAGGCAGACGGACCAGGAATCGAACCGATGTCCTCCCGAATGCTAAGCAATGGTCTAAACCTGTAGGCCAAGCCGCTCGGTTCCAGCATACATTTAACAATGAACCAAAGCTGGACGAAAGCTTTAGAGCTTTCAGGACTTACAGTAGACACTCTTTACTTCAAACCCTTTTGTGAACAATTAGTTGGGACTCGAGAAAACAATTGGATACATAATAAAGATACCTTAAGCTCTCAAAATATTTGAACCTAATAATTTTTCGACAGTTCGAAGTTTTTCAACATTAAATTGTAATCCAGTAAGAGCTTTGGGCTAAGAGTTTGATGAATGCTCTACATTGGACTGACTTTAAGCATCAGATAATGCTTCAAAAGAGTATTTCAGCGGTTTACTGGTAAAGTTTCACTAAAAGCTTTAACAACATTTTTGAATAAGTGTTATCTTTCTCTATTCTTATTGTATGTGGCAAAAATCGAAGTGCGATTGATGTAAACTCACCTATATTTATAAGTGCCATCAAAATTGACCTCTTGCTCTTGTCGCAAAATCGGTATTGGTTCCAATTCGCCTTGTGGCGCTGTCATAACTGAACCAAGCATTGTGATGCTGAATGCCTTAAAAACCACAATAAAATACATATATAGAGCGATGTGTAGTATTTTTCGACCACCAAATTTTAAATAAAACCAAAATTTCCATTATTTTTTAAGCGACACCCTATGTTACTTAAATAAACCTACTTTTGTAGTCAAAAAGCATATGCTTAAGGTCAAACTCAGATCATAATATTTGATGAGATGAAAATCAAACAACCAAGTAGGTACTACGATCGTCAAAAATAAAATAAACAATTTTCACATATCGCAATTCATAATGACGTCGTAAACTTGTAAATAAAACCAGAATTAATAAAAAAAAATGAAAATAAAGAAAAACCTTAGATATTTTATTTAACAGTCATATCGAAAGTGATAATATGATGTCCATTCTTCTATTTTTTCTTCAAAATTTTGTTATTAGCAACTCAAAACAACGAATTGGTAAGCAAGTCGAAAGGTACTTTCTATTCTTATCCAAGCTAATAAACATGTTCGAAATAACTTTATGACAGTTATAAAGTTTGTAAGGTGTTTAACAAACAATAAGAAAATAAAACTGAGTAATGAATTTAAGATGAGTATTGGGAAATACTAACATTACATCACAGTTCCTAACTGAAATTACTCATTAAAATTTGGTGACATAATGAGTAGCTAGGTATTTACCAGGTATGTATGTCACGATGATGGTAAGGTTTCAAAGCAATTCATTCAACTTCCTTCAATTTAATATAATGGTACCAAAGAGAGGTCAAGTTTTTAAGTAGATAAAATTTATAACGAACTACGTGTACATATTTAAAATCAAAATATTGCCTAAAAGATTTTAATCCAATAGGTACGTATTTTAGGTAGAGAATGAACATCCAACGAATACAGCTATACATGAACCCCTGTATTTTAAAAAGAACCAAAGTAAAAGACAACTACAATAAGTACAGATTTACTACAACCAAAATAATAAGTAAAGATTCACTACCACCTTCAAATATTAAAATATCATGGTTACTTTTCGAACTTCAAGTTGAGCCCTTAATTTGTCTCTATGATTTTTATGTAATACATACACAAAAAGACAATAATTCCCACTGTGGTATTAAAACACCCCATCACTTATTTTTACCGCCAAAGTTATTTTTTTTTGCAATTATTTTAAACGCACAGATTGCAGTTTTATTATAGATATTTTATTCCACGTGTAAAAGTAAATAATAGAAAAATATCAAAACAACCACCACACGACAATAAATACAGAGATTAAGATTTTTAAATCCAAATTCGACTTCGTACTAACAATAAGCAGATTCTTCTAATATTGATGGTCACTTTGGCACAATGTAATAAAAAAAATAAAATGTATATCTATCAAAAAACACTGGTACTTACAATAAACATAAACATCATTGTGAGCGGGGAAAATTTTAAACTTTGATAACTAAAAACTGATTACTGTAGTTGTGATGTCCCAAAAAGGTATTTATATATGTGTAGAACTCCCACTTCAGGAGGTTCTGATGTCTGTCCACCTGCCCCATGGTCGATGGTGAATCCTCGCGCCCCCTCCAGAACAATTCTGTTTAATGTCAAACTTACACTTACCTAATTTGTTATTGTTATGTCTTGACCCAATCTTTCTAACACGAAATTGTCAAAGAGAACAACGTATAATTGATAGTCGTAAAGAAGAATTACGGTTGTAACAACACATCGTAGAGGATGCACACTTGTCTACATTTATATATATTTGTTTACATGTTCTTGTACACGGAAAAGTGTATTGTTTGCAAGTATTTTGTCGTAAATGCCACATTGTTCTAACATTTCCCTTCTTCCGTGTGCGAATTAGATTTAAACGTTCGACAATTATTTCGATTTTCCTTTTTTTTTTCATCAAAGTTGTCCTTTATGTTTTAGAGTTAGGAAATTATAATAGCGCACATATAATGTAAAAAAAAAAATAGAAATACTTTAACTAAACGACCGGTCCCTGTAATCGACCTGGTTGTAAATGGAAAAATTACTCATTTTGTAATTCATTTTTCAAATGGCAGCATTCTTGCATAGATAAAACATAAATTACTATCATGTAACCTATCACTTTTACGATAAATAGCAACATCGATTCCATTTTTATAATCAACCAACGAAAACACAAAATATATATGTATAGATACTAATAATAGTAGATACTTAAATAATCAAAATTAGATAAGTTGACGAAATAATAAAAGAACGTCTTCTTTTTAAACAAGAAGGAGAGCGTATTTGTGCATTAATGAACATGAGTAAGATGCAGCTGAATAAGATGAAGATTTAAGGTTCATTTGTATGCCAGATATGATCTATTGTATTTGAAATAGTAGAATAACTCCCATGACCGTAAACGTATGCAATTGTGTTATAGTATTTCAATACTAAGGTCAGGGAATATCGAAGGAAGCATGACACAAAGAGCGAAGAAAGTTTCCATTTTTCTCAGATGATGTTATCGTTTTCTTATGCAAAACGTTCTTTCACGTCGAAATTGGTATAATAATAAATAAATAAATGGGGTTGCTATCAGTTTCTTCATAAATTTACTTTCACAACGTAAATATCAAATAAAAAAATGTTACACAATTAATAACAATATATTTTATAGTAAGAAATGCCGCAATGGAAATTTAAATAAATAGTATTCTTACCTCGAATGTCACTTTTGAATAATGTACATTTTCAACATGTCATTAGGTGAAAAATTACGAATCTAATTGGTCGATTGCAGGATTATTATTCCGTAGGTATATAAATTCATTTTTTCCTGTAATACTGGTATTTAAGCTCGTAATCCACGACAAACAGTTAGTATCTTGCCACTTTTTATATCGAAAGAATGAAACTGCGCAAAGTTAATTTTACTGATTTGCCTTCAAAACTATTCTATATTCACAAGGAAACGCATATAAATATGTTGCCATATCTAATTAGGCAAAATATTTTAAAATTTTGAAATACATTAACGAAAATGTTATTTTAACAGGAGCTTTCAAAACCTTCAGATATTGAAATTAGAAATTTTAATCAGAATTTATTTGCAGAGCTGTGTTTATTTTATTTGATATTCAACAGACAGATAGGTATTCACCATTGAATTTTTATTTAAATGCCACAAGTTTTTTATTTATTCTTTTACACAGTGACCCAAAACGTACTCAATTCGACTTTATCTACAAAATGAAAATATTTCTCAAGCAAAAACAGTTCTGAGTGCACACAAACAAAAAAATTATTTTGCAATAGTGCGTGGATAGAAAAACAACCCCGTTAAATGAATAATCAAAAGAAAAAAAAGAGAAACACACAAAAAACTTTCAGTAAAGCATTTACTTACAAAAATATACACATTTTTACTTTTTACGAAGGAATAATTCTAAAAGCTGCACCAGCATGCAGACAGTAACAGTAAGCATTCATGTATGCACTGACGTTACATTACTCGACTGATGCAACCTTGAAGCACCATAAAAAATCACATTTCATTTGTACAAATCATTAACCCGTGATCATAGCGAAGTCGTCTACTGTGGTCAAATGTAACATAGTAATAAAATTAGTCTATTTACCACATTCGTCACATTTGTGACTACTGAATTACCTAATCTACAAATATTTTTACCTAAAACAGTAAAACATGCTCTAGAACTATAACAGATACAATAATAAAATAATCATTAAATACGCGCATCGATACTGTTAGCATCCCTTTCTCTTATCAATAAATTCGATTTCAAAATGGCAATAATCAATAGGAGTTGGCAAAAATAAATTATACGGCTACTGGAATCGGAACCAAGACAAACTCTCCCTCTCTAAAACAGAAGATGAAAATCATTCATCACTGATCCCAAAAAAAAGAAATGTTCTAATCCTTTTTACCATCATTTAATATGTGTATCCACTTTGTGGATTAAATCCTGGTTTAGCGCCTCCCGGTCTGGCTCCTGGGAATCCTCCAGCACCTGAACCTCCGCCCCCCGCACCGCCGGAACCTCCCTGGCCACCACCATAGCCGCCACCTCCTCCTTCACCACCTCCGGCAGCTTCTTCCGCTGCATTGATTTCCAGAGATTTCAAAATCTCTTCGGGAATCGGTGGGGGAGTCGGCAGGTGATCGCCTGACGGTTGAAAACCGTTTTCATCGGCGGTATAAGTCAACTGAATAACTTGACCATCAGGGGCTGTATACGAGAACGAACCACTAACAGTTTCAGCTTCGTTATCAGTGCCGGCATTTTTCAGTTGACCTTCTTCCTGAACTTTAATACCGTTACCGGTTTCGTAACTATCAACAAATTAAGTTTGATTTTGATTCAATCGATACAAACAATAAATTAATTGTTCAGCACACACCTATATCTGTAACTACCATCGCCGGCATTAGGCTGATTTTCGTAAGAAATTATGGGAATGTCGGCCCCACCACCCCCTGGAGCAGCTCCCGCACCACCGCCGCCGCCGCCGCCCCCTCCACCTCCTCCTCCTCGACCCCCAGTTCCTGGAAAACCTGGACCGCCTGAGCCTGGGCCACCACCGCCGGGTCTTCCCCCCGGGCCTGGTCCTCCAGGAGCACCACCTCCGAAACCTGGTCTACCACCACCACCCCCTAATAAAATTTTCTTCTTATACATGTTGGCATCATTAGAAATCTGATCGTAGTTTAATTAATTCCATCACACATATGAATTTGTTAAAGGACGACGACCTACGAATGGCTGTTAAACTGATCTAAATGATTTCAGAAAGGGTTTCCAAACAATTAGGTAGAGTAACCACGCTTTGGCATTTCACGTTTACACATGAAATGTAAATTCCGACTTGCGAATCCATTGTTTTAACATGTTTATGTTTTATGCGACGACATATAATGTAATCTGCAGCTAAGGTGCATATGTTGTACCTACGTACAAAGAAACTAGAATAACTGTAACAACAATTGTCAACGATGAGGAAAACCACAATAAATATACACATGTGTGTATGTAAACTGAATTACCACGTTGTCGTCCTCTTTGTTTCATCTAATAATTCGAAATCTAAAAGGTTCGATAAAGAGCGTTTAGTTTTATTCCTTTCGTGTAAACTCCGCATCTTTTTATGGAAGAAAACAATTTGAAATAACTAAGGTGTCTTTATAAGGATCACCTTCGGATTACCATAAGCTTTCTGAAAAGATCTAAGCCATATGCACTCCCGTTTTTACACAGTTGTTTGCTAGTTAAAATCCGTAACACTTAAAGATCAAATCCATTATTTTTCTTCGGATTGCACAAATTCTCGCGACACAACTAATGCACGATTTGTGTCAACTGTTTATCCCTAAAGTTAGCAAACAAAGAACATTCCATCGGGAAATTAACATAAAAAAGTAATTTACAATTTGATCGGGAGCGGTTTTACGTACGTACCTGGTGCTCCTCCAGGACCCGCAGGTCCTCCACCAGGTCGGGGTCCTAGTAGTCCCGGACCGCCACCTGCATTGTTTGCTCCAGCGGGAGGCAAATAAGTGTTCTCTAATCTAGCAGCGTAACAGACCCCTAATATCGTCACTATTATGAACTGTAATTAACACAAATTAATTATTATTGTTATCATAACATTTCTGAAGAATTCGTAATCAATGTTGTCATATGCATCCGTTTTTGTTTTGTGTAATAACAAATAATTGATCCAAAATTGTGATAGTTTATATAGAGACAATCGTGGACTTTACAAGTTTAGTGTTGTAAAGCGATTTCGAAAACATTATTTATTGTAAATGGTCAGTGAACTAGTTAATTTATTACACGATTCCAGTTTCCAAATTGGCCTTGTAAACAATTCACGGCCGATTCGCAAGCGATGTTATGCAAGACTATAACGCAGAAATTCGCTTCATCGTCAGTCAAGACCGAAAGCTCATCAACAGTGGGTAATAGCGCCTATTCGCGTACGTATGACTATAGAGTAATACCCATACTATTCACTTACGAAGGTACATACGTACGGCACAAGCTATTATATAAACACATATTTGTACATATGTGCGGTACTTAAAATGAAATTTGCTAATGATTTTTGAAAGGAGGAAGAATCTGCAATCTCGAACGCGAACATATATATTTTTTTTTAATCAAACTTCAAAGCTATACGAAATTGGTTAAGTACAAAGTACGTAGGAGCCCCTTCTCATTTCAGTTGGCCCCTGGAGAAAATTTTTCACAAATTACCGTTTAGGAAGCAGAAATACAAGTATTAATATAATGTGAAGTAAAATAGTAGGTATTCCTATGATTTATCTAAAAAAATACTTAGCGAAATAAATAAAATTGATAATTAAAATGCAGAAAATATTAACAAGAAAACAATTTCAAAGTTCGTAATTTCTTCGGGACCTACTATTATTTGAACCTTAGCACAATTCTGCTTAAACGAATCCCATTTATTTGCTAAAGTTTTACTCCAGTTTTAACAGGATATTAAAAATAATGCTTTTTGTTTGAAGAATTTTTGATTTTTTGCTTAGAACTTATCGGTTTATATTGCATACTACTGAATATGTCCTGTTAATAAACTTGACATAATTGTAAAGAAAAATACAGAACTTTAAATTTTATTTTAAATGATACTCAGAAAACTAGATGAAACCAATACAGCCAATACATAACGCCGTTGAAATTAAGAAGTTACAAACAGATAGTTATTCATAAAATGAATGAAACAAATGTTTCTTATGAGTGAAATTTAGTATATTTTAAGTGAAGAATGATTGCAGAATTTCCCTAAAATCCGTACAATTTTTTTAATATTGTGTTGTTCTTTGAATATGTATATATACCAGGTATTGATAGATTGCAAAAAAAATGAAAAATACGGCCACCCTGAACATTTATTGATCCGCAGGTTTTCCACAAAAATCATGACAAAATGTACTTCAACATATTTGTTCTCACCGTACAGAAAACCGTTTTCTTTTGAGAAACTGTTAAGACAATAACCTGGATCCAGAAACTGTTACAAAGTCAACAGCGTCGCATATTTTAGACTATTTAGGAAAATTGAAGATGTTTATGACATACTTCTCTTATATTAAGTCAATCGAAATTGCACAGTAGTGTTTATAGGTACCTATAAAACAGCCGCTTGGAATGTTTTGAAAAATAAATAGCATAGCTATTCGTTTCGGATTTGTAAATATGTACTTCAAAATGATTGTCATTTTATTTTACGTACCTAAGACGGCATTACAAGTCGACTGTTTATCATTTTTACAACTCAATAAAATATTGCAAATTTCAAGGTATTGCAAAGACATGCAATTCTCATTCCCAACAACCCAGTATTTAAAACAAAACGATTTTGATATCAGGATTATTTATAAATCGAGTTTCCAATAATGACAATAAGAATATTTTTTGCCCTGACAATATTTGCACTGCGGCTAATTAATTATTTATTAACACTCACCAACTTCATGTTGCCCATATTTGGTTCACTAGCCTAGTCCAAGAATGAAAAGAAGAAGAAGGCAGACTATGGCTGTTGATTGAAGAAGATCCTCTTTATATAGTACAAAATAGGAGCAGAAGATACAACCCCACTCTGCACTAATAAGACCAGCGAAGGAAATAAGATCATTTGTTTCATGATAATAAAAGTTCTTCACTTTAATAAACAACCTTTAAATATTTTCTGCGTGTATGTGTGTCTGTGTGTGTGCAATAAAATTAGCTAATTGAAAATATCATGTTAAATACAGTGTTTTATAAAAAATCGATAACTTCATATGAGGCACCCCAATGTCATCCAGAGAAAGATTGAATTTTACCTTTAGATATTCAAATTCCCCAGGTATTTGAGTAATTTACGCTGTTTTAAAATGGTACCCCAATCTGTACCCATCTTGGGCACCATAACCTTCAATGATTTTTATTTTTGTGTAATATTTTTAATGATCGTACTATCATTATTCTTGCTTTAGAATTTGTGAGTGGCTAAAATTGTACGCTCTAAAAAATTTTCAAATTTCAAAGTCCAAAAAAAAATACAAGACTTGGAAAACTGTAGAAAAATAAACCTTAAAGAGCCTTCGCTTGTGTCCTTGGTTCAATTTAAAGAATTCCAAAGTAGTTGCGAACGGTGGGAATTTTATAAAATTACATCTCAATTAATCTCAACACTTAATATGACTGAACTTTTGAAGAAAATGTAATCAATATAGATTTGACTAAAACCTCAAACTTTGCACGTTTCCAAAAAAAATATTCCGACATAGATACCTACAGCCTAGATAAGACCTGAATGCAACATTTCTCCAATTTTAAATGGACTTCGACACATTTCATAGAAAAAGCAGCATAGTAAAATGCACCATACAAAAATGCATACAGTGTGACCTTCTTTAATCATTACAATTAGAATAAATTTTCAAATTGATTTCTATGTCGGTACCTATCATTTTCTGTGAATACAGTTTGATACAAAAAGATGAAAGCGAAAACAAATAGGATTTCGTGATACAGCTCTTCATACTCGCAAGAGAGACTATCAGCAAACGAAGATTCATTTAAGAATAATTAGTTAAACCGTTACTTAATCACCCAAAGACATGTCATGTATGTAGGTATAATAACAGCCTCCTTAAACGTAGATTGGATGCAGACGAACGTGTTTTTATATGCGTACTTGTAGTACATGAAAAAAATTATTTAAATAAACTTTCAACGGCACGATTGAACGATGTTAGTGAGAAATACATTATTAAAAACGCGATTATGAAATACTTCTTTGTTATTAAGTATCAAACAATTGCCAAATACATCAGGATATCAAGAGTTGTTGATGTTCATCTTTTTCCACAAATGTCATAATTTCTTTTTAAATTTATAAACCGAATTGTCATAATTTTAGTTTCAATTCCAGATAAAACATCTTTGTGATGAAATGCTTGTCAGCTTTCGTTTGCGTTTATTTAATGAAATTGAAAGGTTGCCAATGCCAAATCTGCCTAATTGAAAGTTATTACTTATTAAATTAATCTACGTATCTGTATAGTTACAGGGTCTGTAACACTAACAGCAACTCAAGGCTTTTTCATTTCAAAAAGTACATATTATACACGTATGTGATATTCCTGCAACATAGGAAATAAAACTATTTACCGAGGTCCCTAAAATTCATTAATGTTAAATTCTTGAAACTATTGAAATATTGCGTTTACGTCATCGCTATTCATTGTCTGTACGAACCAATTTAAAAACTGATGTCAGTAGTACCTAATTGTCTACGGCGTGCCGATGAGATCCAAAGGGATCGAAATCACGTTCCAAGTCTGGCAGTTTAAAGAGACCACTGACCAAGAACTTTTGTTCGTCGTAAAAGGATCTTTTCTTCAAACATTAATGAACTCATAATTAGAAACTGTTTTATTCAGTAATTTAAAAGATATTTATACATATTACTACTTAATTGTATTGATGGATTATTTAACATAGTTATTTGCATCAAAAGCGACCAGAACCTCTTTTTTCTTCTTATATAATATCATAAAAGGTTAGGGTTGATAGATATTAGGATACGAAAGTAATATCGCTGTTCAGTATGTTGGAACTTATAATGTACTGTCGCTATTGTTCTCTGTCGTCAACTTTATACATGGCATATTAACTGATTGCAAATTTCAATATTTTTTTATAATAAAGCTTCATACAGGCACTGGCAAGTAAGTGTTATGTATAATGCAGGTAAATTACTTTAGTTACGAAATCGTTTTTTTTGTATTCCTAAAGAATTGAGTGCAAGCTTTTGTATTATGTTTTTCTTTGTATATTTTTCGTAACTGATCAATAAATCTGGACAGAAATGTTGGCGCAATATGTTCTTATAGGAAAACGATCAATAAGTACAAATCTCAACTGAAATGGAAAACTAGTGAAAGTAACTTATGATCAAATGAAAAATAGGTAAATCTAAAATTTATTCCATGATGAAATATAATACCTACCATTAGAACATAAAACAACGTAGTCGATATTGTATTCAATTACGTCGAGGAAACACAGTTGTCTAATTTTAGATGCTGTATTCAAAACTGGTTAACATTTCTTTTTGTAATTAAGATTCCCACCTACGGAAGGGAACACAATACAGAATTAAAAGAACCTATTAAGTTAATTGAAAGGAAAAATAATCACAAAGAAAAGGTAGATTAACACCTTATGTGGTAATTGTTAATAAAAATAGGACAGTTGGAAAGATTCAGACAAATGTCAGCATCCTTTAGAATCGACTACGCTTGTCAATCTGCGCTCGTGCTCGCTACGCTCCGGCTCGTTCTATTAAATAATAATTTGAGAAAATGATCGTTTAAATCATTATAGAAAACATTATCGTGCTGTTACTATTAATTACAGGTTGGAAGAAGTGTTGGTCATACGCTGAGGCAATGTTACAAGCACGCTAATAACTCTCCGTCCAATTAACGTTTTCTTTTACGGTAGATAAATCCAATGCAGAGATACAGAACTGCAAACAAAGTGAGCAATTCTTCTTTCCAAATACGGTAGCGCATAAACAATCATGTTTTAAACGTTATATATTTATCAAAGAAATTTTAACAGCGGCACAATCCAATAATTAAGATATATAAATAAAAATAGACGTGACCCCGTGGTGTAGAATTGTTTATCCTCCGGTGAGAACACCGACGACCGCTAACTACTGTAGTTGACATCCTCAGGGAACCTGACGAAGTCCTATGGTTGAACTGAGACACGGTTAAAATAAATGAAGACGTACTAACGTTTTGAAACGTTCTCAAACTGTTAGTGGTAAGAATGGTTTCTGACATTATATTAGGGTAGTTTATACACATATATGTCGATTAAAATGTTCTAAAACGTTTGCAATCTCCAATAATGTTAAAAATTTTGGTGGAATGTCCTTTAATATTTGAGAAGTCTTCAGCTAGAATGTTCTCGAATATCTAGGATACTCCTTTAGCAGAATGTTTCAGAGTGAATTGGTCTGGAAGAATCGAGAATCAGGACACGGAAGTGTTTATTTTTTGTTAAAAAGGACTTCGGCCTAAAGCTATTCCTTGTTTTATAGTTCCAACGTTTTTTCATCCTTATGAGTTAATGTGAGTTATTCTAGATATCAAAAATAAATGACTTTTGTTTGTTTCCAATTTTTATATTGGATTTAATCCTACTTTCACTTCCCTTCAATCCATCAATCGTCCGCAAATAAACAAATTAATAGGATTTTGAAAGTTGATAAAACAAATGACAAAATATAGACAAAGTTTTTAAACAAAGAAGATTGTCTAAACCTTGAACGGATAATTAAGTTCGGTCTATCTGCAATACCAACCACCTGTTCATAAAGGAAGAATTCCAGTCAAGGATCCATTGTAGTTCGTCTTGTTTCGAATTCATCACAATCTAAGGTGGATTAGAAGACAAAAAGAGCGATTGCAGTTGCAAATTAGGTTCATAATTTTCAATGTAAGTTACATAAATATAGACTCGTATGTTTGTGCCTCTTCGTAATTGGTTTTGTTTTTGTCTTAGATTTGCCCCAACAGATCTAGCAATCGCTAATATTAAATGGATTAAAAAAAAAATTAAAACTTGCTTCTGATAATATATGTAATGTAACGTACGGAACTCTCGGCGCGAGAACTGTATTTGCACTTGACTGATTTTTTTTTACTTTCGTGAACGTGAATACAATACCATTCTAACTCAACGTTACCCAAATACAATAAATTGTTCATGCTCTAAACTTTGTTATACCTTTCCATGAGAACTTCTCGCGACCTTTTGATGCACCAGTTAAGAAAACTTCCTTTAGTGTCATCACGTTAACAATCCGCAGATCTTTCTTTACATAACACTACAGAAAATCAACGTTACCAGCTCAAATGAAGTACGTTATTATTAGTAGTGTTTCAACAGAAGGAAACGAATTAGTTCTGTTATAAAATACCGACAAACTTTACTATCCATAGCGTTAACAAAAAAAAGGGTACCTTCGAAATTAAATTACATGGAGTTAACTGATGCAGCTTGATAATGAATTATAAGTAGCATCACCCAGTCACGAATAAGGTTTTCTTATACCTTATATAATGCACTTAAATGTTACAGTTGGAAAAGATTCTTTGTTAAAAACAATCGTATTATTTTATTAAATATTTACAAACTTATTTTAAGCAAAATAAAAAGTGCGTACATTTTACTTTGTAACCTTAATATACGATGATACACGGGTTAATTAGAAGTCGGTTAGGTACATTAAAAGATGACGTAAACACCGCCAATCAGCTTTTCTGCGTCCTTCTTTGTTACCTCGGAACACAACGGGCATCCTACAATACTTAAAAGGTTCAAGTTGCATCCTTTTATTAATTTCGTTCGCATATATATATATAAGCACGAACTTTACTTGATTAATTAAATTGGTAAAACAGCAATTTTTTAAGGAAACCTTATTATGAAATTGCTAACGTAGTACTTATGAAAAGCCTAATTAATTCGATTAAAAGTCCATTGCTATACAAATTTTCATTAACTCCATTTCAATGTATAGAAAGGGAAAAAGGAAAAATGTAAAAACACAAAATAATTTCCAATTTTAACATTGGAGTGTAAAGGGGGCAAACATTGTGAAGCATGTATAGTTTCGCCAAAAAATTATTATTATTATAAGAAGTCGTTAACAAATTTGATAAAATATCCATACTATTTATTTTCTATCTAATTAATCAATAAAATTGATCCTTGACTGCTTTGATTGACTGTATATCGCGCCGTCTGCAAGACGTTGAGTACCTATGTATGTTGACTAGGTACATTATTATACACAATAGTAAACGCTCTTTTAAGAGTGTCCTAGAAAACTGAGAGTATAAGAAGATGAGTCTGCAAAGTATTATGCAATGACTAGCAATAAGCAGGTCACCAGATTCCTAAGGCATTTAACCTGTTACGGTTGACCTGACCACTTTCATTTGTTACTATTTATAAGCTAAAACGTCTGCAGCATCAGTAGCATTTCGCTCATGTTCAGCAACCCACACTTTTGTACCTATGCTCTGGCAACGGAATACGAAAAAGGATAATTATTTAATAGGAATGTGCAGATACTTGATATTTTTAATTAATATTATTTTACAATAAATTTCTAATAAAATATAGAGCATTCTATTTTTCTTTCCTGTTTAAATTTTCGTGATTTTGAACCTTTTGTATAGGCAATCTATCTAACCGAGATGTTTTACAGGTTGAGAAATTTATCTTTTTAATAAAATAGTCGCAAGCGGTTCAGGGAATTCCGCAAAGAATGCGGAAGTAAACGGTCTTTGGCGCCAATGATAACAATTAATCTAATAAATATCATTTTTATATAAAATAACTTAAAAAAGATGAGGCTTCCTGGAAAGTCATATATAACTTTCAGTATTTCCAATACGGAAATGCTTAAGCACTAAGAAAATTGATAAAAATTTTACTGAAAGAAAATATAGAACAATAAATCTAAACCATTATTTTCTTTTAGTATTAAGANTAATGTTTTCGTTGTATGAATTCCACGTTATTATGATTTTATGGCATTTATAATTTACACAATATGCCATGACATTTAAACCACGCAGTTATAAAAAAAATAATTAAATCTTTTATAATATCAAACTAGACTATGCCAAAGTTAATTTTAACAGTTATTTTACTTTTGCTAAACTTTTTATACCTCTTTGAGAGTTTTGGACCCTATTATAAATAAGAAATTATTTAAAAGGCTATAGTCTATATGCAACCAATCACACATCGCTGTTTATCATTTGATATACATGTCTAATCGAAAATTTAAAAATTATTTTGAAAAACTTATCAAGAGTTCTAATTGCATTTATTTAATCCAAAAAATACTTTTGAGAAGTCAATTTAGAGTATATGTTTCAAAATAATAAATACCATTGCTGGTATTTAATGCAAACTGTTAGTAAAATTAAAAGTTCCCTTTTAAAGTTACACTCAATAGAAGACAACTAATTAATTATTAATTACAAGATTACAACGTTTATTTAAAAAGAATAATGAAAAGTTTGGAATTCTATTTAATAATAGATACAGATGCATTTATGATGTTGTATATCATTCTTAGCAATTTCTCTTTGGTGGGCCCTTCTATAATCCCAGAGAAAATGATCTATCAATACTGAATTAATCTTCTTATCAGCAGGAAGATTGGCATTTACATATTCTTTCAGTAATTCCACTGCATGTATAGAGCAGCCTCTAATTTCAACCTCCATTTCAGAACCGTACTTTAAAACATCCTCTTTTTTTAAAATATCCATCAACTCAGGACTATAGGACAATACCCCAAAAAGAACTAACACCTGAGGAACTCTATAATCAGCAAACATTGTAAGCTCATCAATATCTCGAAAAGATCCAACCCCTTCACCCTGGTGACAAGTCCACACATCTGCCACTAATATTTGGGCTCTTTTATAGAAAGAGACTGAATGTCCTTTATACTGACATTCATCTCTGAAATGCTCAAAGGAGTTTATTATAATCTCAAGGAGTTTAAGTGCAGAACCTTCAGCCAGTTTTATGCAGTTTAGAAAACTACCCCCATATTTTTCCTTCAAAACAGTGCCACTTTCTTGCAAACATTTTACCCTTTCTTTTAAAAGGGGTATTGATACTGAAGTGTCCCCTCTTAGAACACTTCCCAATTGTTCTTCATTTATTGTAGCATAAAATGCAGGATTTAATATATCTACACCCTCCTAAAACACCCAGTTGGTTAATAAAAAGTTGATGTAATTACTGAAATTAATTAGTACTTTTATTGCCCTGTTGATAGCAGCACCAAGTGCAAAATAGCCTGATTGTCCATCAACCTTCCAATGTCTTTTTTTATGTTCAATATCCCAAAAGCAAAAATTTAGGGAATCAACTACAAAAATCCAATCAACAGCCCAAGGATCTTTTGCTCTGGGATGAATTGTATTCTGACTGATGTTATTAAATGAAAGTTTTCCATTAATTGTCTCTTGCAATATCTAATACATTTTGTAAATTAATAACAGTTTTTATCAAAAGAAACAAAAACAATATACTTTTTGACCTAATTTATCAATTCCCTCTTTTGCAACTGTAACATGTGTTGAATAGCTATTGATTAACTTAGCAGAATCTTTCGGAAGCAGCACCATTTCTTCTTTATAATTAAACAAAAATATAACATAAGGTAAACACCTTAGACAAAATCTTTAAAGTTGATAATGTAATGTATCAAATGTAAATTATATCAACAGGTTAGGTGTCAAATTTCAAGGTTATCGTCATAGAATACTTTTATTAAATGTTGTTTTAATTACTATGGTGATTTTAAAAACTTTATTATAACGTTTTGTATCGTCAATAAATCAAATAAAACTCTCTCATGCAGGAATAGTAACATTTATTGAATATCCTAAAGTAAGGAAATAAGCAACATTAAAAAATAAAACTTGCAATTGCTCATACAAGTTTTCAAATTTCACGCACATTGAGGAGTAAACATGCACCTACATACCTAAGCTTATTGCATAGTAACAATTGTCATGGGGTCATAATTGATTATTAAAATAAATAAATGCTTTCAATGAGCCAAGAGAACATTAGAAAAAAATCAGTTTATTTTCTAAAAAATCGTCCCCTTGGTCCTGTTTGTGTTAGTTCAGGATGTGCAGCATTGTACGCGAGCGATCTTTGAATGGCTTCGGGAATAGGGGGTGGTGTTGGTAAATGTGCACCCTCTGCTCGAAAACCATCCTCATCTGCTACATAGTTAACACTATAACGCACCCCATCGGGTCCGGTATAGCTGAACGAACCCTGTTTTACTTGCGCTTCCGTTTGGGGATTACCCACGTTTTTAACGTAGCCCTGTTCGTCAAATTGAATACCGTTTCCGGTTTCATATCTGCATATTAAAAAGGATCACCATGAAAGTTTTAAGTGTACTTATGATAATGTTAAACATACCCAAAGACATACGATCCATCTGGATTCGGTTCGTACGAGTATCTTAAAATGGGGACTTCCCTCAAGTTGCTGTAGGTACTATATTGGACAACTCTTTGCGACAAGGTAGCATAACAGAAGCAAGACAAACAGAGGTATACGTAGATAATCTATTGTAAAAGAGTAAACTACATATAACTTTGAACAGAAAAAATTATACCAGAATGTGCTTATTTTATTGAATTTTAATTTCCTAATCGAAATTTGAATTTAACTGTATTTCTTTCCTTATAATGCTTAGGTAGTAGAAAAATTATAAACCCACATTCGGTTAAACTTAGAAACATTAAAAAAAATGGCAATTTAAAATTTCCAGAAGTTGTTAATCGAGTAGATATTAATCAACCATCAACGAACACTTAAGAAAGTTTAAAGAATTAGGGTATAGTTTGGATATGCCACAAAAGTTACCACAAGAAAAATGAAATTGACAATAACACAAACAAACCCCACTAAAATCACATGAAACACTATCGGTAAAATTAAGAAACACACGAATTTTTTTTAAAAAATATTACATACCCGGTTCATTTTGTAAAATGAATTAACTATTTCCAATTCAGAATAACTCCGTGAGAACCATATCGCGAATATTTATAGTAAGGATGAATCTTCCCACCCAACGGTCTTATTATATATGTATGTAAAGGTAACATCCAAGACTGGACAATTACCACTTTCGAAGCCCGGTATTTGCTACGCCTTAAATCATAAATTATTTTTTCTTACATAAATGCAACATGGTAAAGATCAAATGATCTATCATTTGATCTTTAATTCAATTACCACAGCTTTACAAATTTTCCACAAAAAACGAATTTTCCAGAGATAAAGACCCAACATAAGGTTATTTAATTTTATTCCATGCGAATAATTTTAAAAATTTTTATGTTGAAAATTTAAACATTATCATAATCGTGTGCGTATTACTTTAACCATGTTCAAAATATAAGGCAACATCAACAAAGAAAATCAGAAAATGTTACAACAAGGGAAATATAATTATACGCTTTAATATAAATGTGTGATAATTATAGAGTAAAATAGTATATTTAATCGTAAAGATTCACAACAAATAACTGATGGCCTTTCTTCTCTGTCATGTTATAATTGACTACAACAAAAAACCGAATGTTTGTTTCTTCCTTTCTTAGTTGCTTGATGGAAATATGAAATACATGATAGTCGCAACGATCGTGATGAAAACACACTGTAATTAGGTATTACAGAAATCAGTTAATATTAAATGAAATAAATGCAAATTTCGCTAATAAGGCACAACCAGAAATCGTCATTTGAACGTTGAAAGGAAAGGTTAAGTAATGCATTTCATGTTTTAACCACAGTTCAAAATACATAGTATTTACACAGAAATCCTGCTAAGGTGTATTTTAATGTCGTTGGCATAATCTAATATATTACATTCCAAAATTATCGTTTTTGTGATTCATTATGTTGCAGAATTGCATAGCACCACATCGCTCGCAAAAATACTTTACGATGAAGCAGAAGAAGAAACTTCCTCCCGGTCCCACATGCACTTCGCCTACCAAACCACTCTACAGTGGCAAGACAATTCGACTAGACATTAAAAAAGTGTCCTAGATCCTGCCAATCCTCTCCAGGACTTCAAAGTTTCATTCAAATCGAATAAGCCAGTTCGAATATTAATCAGTACAGACAGACAAATAGAGACAGATAAGAATTTCTAAAAAGGCCTTTTGCTTAATAATAGAAAATCAGAAATCATATAAGCTTAACAAAAATATTTCAGTATTACAAACAGACACTTGAACTTTACGTGTTTGTTCACGATGATGATGATGTTGCTAATAATAATTAAAATCTATCGATCATGATCATGATCAAAAGCTAATATAGTATGAATACTTCTGGCTGTTGAGCATAGCCACTGTCCAAAACCTCATAACATCTAATTAAAAGTCCAAATCTACTAGAAGGAAAGCAATTCCATTGAAAATTTTTAGTTTACGAAATACCATTCGTCGGACATTATTATTAAATAATACGTTTAATACATATCTGTTTCCTTATATCATTAGGTCTAACAATAACAATTTGCATGGACATGGGAAAATTCAAAGTACGCATGCATAATATCAGATTTGATCGTAATAAATTTAGACCATTATTCTTCACGACATTTCCATTTCTAGAGTTAACTCAAACCTGTCCCAGAAATACGCCTGTACAAAGATTTATTACACGACCGACTGAACGAATGATCACGATGTTTTGAAACAATATTANATGCATAATATCAGATTTGATCGTAATAAATTTAGACCATTATTCTTCACGACATTTCCATTTCTAGAGTTAACTCAAACCTGTCCCAGAAATACGCCTGTACAAAGATTTATTACACGACCGACTGAACGAATGATCACGATGTTTTGAAACAATATTACTACTAAATAAGTGAACAGATAAAATAAAAAAAAATTCCTATGCCCAGCAATATTTAAACATAAATGGCACAACCACATATAAGAGATAAGAGCATACGCAAGTACATATTATATTGAAATTGGTAACCCCCTTCTTTTGATACACATTTATTTAAAACAAATTTTACAAACAACAATCGATGTTCAGATAAAACAACCCCTTCCAATGACGCCCACAATTCAAATCAAGCAATCGACTCCGCAAAAAAGTAAACCACGACACACAGATTATGGGTACCATCTTCTTTTAATGTAAATTACCATATTATTTATTTAAAACAAATTGCATCAACAACAACTGTAGTAGGAGTAGCAAACGACAGCTCAATTAATAACACCACTACCAAAAACTTAATCAACTCAAACCCTTCAAAACAATAAACAAAGACACATAGTTTATGTGAACCCCCTTTTTTTTACATATTTGTACCATATTTATCTAGAAAAATTGCATAAATATCAATCAGTTTGTAGATGTAGAAAGTGACAACCCAAATAATGCAACTTCTTCCAACAATACACATAATTTAAATGCAATAAAAACTTTAAAAAATAAACCAAGACACATCGATTATGTGAACCCTTTCTTTCGATACATATTTGTATCATTTTTATTTATAACAAATTACATAAATATCACTCAATTTGTAGATGTAGAAAGCGACAACCCAGATAATGCAACTTCATCCAACGACGTAAACAATTCCAATACAATAAACACTTTAAAAAACATAAACAAAGACACATAGAAAATGTGAACCCCTCTCTTTTGATACATATTTATATCATTTTTATTTATAACAAATTGCATAAATATCACTCAAGTTGTAGATGTAGAAAGCGACAACCCAAAAAATGCAACTTCTTCCAACGATGTAAACAATTCAAATACAATAAACACTTTAAAAAAAATAAGCCAAGACACATAGATTATGTGAACCCCTTTCTTTTGATACATATTTGTATCATTTTTATTTATAACAAATTGCATAATTATCACTCAATTTGTTGATGTGGAAAGCGACAACCCAAATAAGGCAACTTCTTCCTAAATAAACCAAGACACATAGATTATGTGAACCCCTTTCTTTTGATACATATTTGTATCATTTTTATTTATAACAAATTGCATAATTATCACTCAATTTGTAGATGTGGAAAGCGACAACCCAAATAAGGCAACTTCTTCCAACGATGTAAACAATTCAAATACAATAAACACTTTAAAAAAATAAACCAAGACACATAGATAGATTATGTGAACCCCTTTCTTTTGATACATATTTGTATCATTTTTATTTATAACAAATTGCATAAATATAAGAAAATTAGTTGTTGGGGGTACGTCGAAAACGTTTGCTGATTACATATTAGTTTGTAATCAGCTTAGATATTTGCATTAACGGCACATTGCCATTTTTAGGCAAGGTATGATCAGAACAAATTATCCAATCAAAACAATTAATCGGAATTTTTAAAAAATAAACCAAGACACGTAGATTATGTGAACCCCTTTCTTTTGATACATATTTGTATCATATTTATTTATAACAAATTGCATAAATATCACTCAATTTGTAGATGTGGAAAGCGACAACCCAAAAAATGCAACTTCTTCCATCGATGTAAACAATTCAAATACAATAAACACTTTAAAACAATAAACCAAGACACATAGATTATGTGAAACCCTTTCTTTTGATACATATTTGTATCATTTTTATTTATAACAAATTGCATAAATATCACTCAATTTGTAGATGCGGAAAGCGACAACCCAAAAAATGCAACTTCTTCCATCGATGTAAACAATTCAAATACAATAAACACTTTAAACCAAGACACATAGATTATGTAAAACCATATTTTTTTGATACATATTTGTATCATATTTATTTATAACAAATTGCATAAATATCAATCAATTTGTAGATGTAGAAAGCGACAACCCACATAATGCAACTTCTACCAAGGAAGTACATAATTTAAATTCAATAAACACTTATTAGATTATGTGACCCCCTTTTTTTTTAATAAATATTTGGATCATATTTATTCAAAGGAAATTGCATAAATATAACAAAATTAGTTGTTGGGAATACGTCGAAAACGTTTGCTGATTACATATTAGTTTGTGATCAGCTTAGATATTTTCATTAACAGCAGACTGCCATTTTTAGGCAAGGTATGATTAGAACAAATTATCCAATCAATACAATCAATCCGAATTTTTAACAAATATACTACCATCATAATACAGACTATTTAAAAATAGGTGGTGATATGTGTTAATTTCATTATATTTTGAAGCATGGTTTTCATATTCCTATTAATAGAATATGTCTTATGCAACCCGCAGAACTGTGATTGTTGATATTCAGAAAATTGTAATGGATCGTTTAATTTAAGTAATTAAACGTAGAGAAAATGATTTTACAAAAGTTTAAAACCGGATAAATATACAAAACAGGCGGTATTGTAACATTAATTAAGTAATTAATGTATTATATTACTTGTATGAGCTCAATATTGCAATACCGTCAACGTAGGAGTAAAAGGTTAAGTAAAAGAAACGTGTGTATTACCTATTACCGTTGCTCTATCATTTAAATTACACTAAACTATTCGTTTGGTTTAAATTCACTATAAATATCAATATTTTTTACAATGATGAAACTAATTAAGAGCCAACATTTAGATCTGCAGCTTGCAACGCCATCACAGGAAATGGCTGAATCTTGCGGGAGGTGGGGTATAAATACCTACCGTAGTCCCCGCTGTGTTAGCCAATAGAAAACGAGTAAAAGTAAACAAACAACAGGAATGAAAATAAAAGAACTTTTTCATTAAATACATCAAGACAAAGTAATAATATGTAATCACACTTGTATTTTTGTTAAATTGTACGATTAATAATGTAATAAACACATTCCGACAGAAAATTATATGTCACAAGTGCGACCAATAGGAAGCAAGCAAATGGCCGCGAAATATGCGCGGCAATAGATTGAAATTTGAAACAATAGAAAGAAGTAATGCACGTACTTACCAAACTTTAAGTTTNTAAACACATTCCGACAGAAAATTATATGTCACAAGTGCGACCAATAGGAAGCAAGCAAATGGCCGCGAAATATGCGCGGCAATAGATTGAAATTTGAAACAATAGAAAGAAGTAATGCACGTACTTACCAAACTTTAAGTTTTCATTTAAATAGTATTGTAAGTTTATTATTAGTATTAATA